TGTACAAATTGAATGAGGAGTCATTTAATTGTTTTATGTAAGCGTACGGACAAGCGATTTTCCTTGTATAGTTCCGCAGAGCGAAGTATCTTTTTATCGCTTCTATTGCAGTCATGAATATCCACTCTCCCATTTAGCTTGACCGTATCGTGCAATTTTACAGTATAATTTGCTACATTCAAAATTACTACACAAAAAAGTGAAAAGCCGAAAAGTGTGTTATTGTTTGTTGTCGTTCTCTAAAGACCAGCCATACCCTCATTATCTTTCAACTATGTTTTTTTTGCTGACTTCTTTTCGTTCTTCTCCAATTTTGTAGAACTCTTTTAATAATTACAACATAAGATGGAAAATTCATAGTCTATTTTTTCAGTTTGTTTAATATTTATGGTGACAGTTTAACGTTTTGTAATACTGACAGGCAATACTACGAAACGTACTCGACTCGACCGATGTAGCAGCGGAGAAAAAAACACTTATAACTCCACTAACTAATAATTATACAAAACATGCCGCTGAGGAATTGATTAGTACTAAAGTTTAAGTAAGTTTTGCTTAAGGCCGTGCGGTATAGCTCGTTGGAATACAGTAAGTGTGGCGGAAATAGGTGTCGGTCATTTTTAGAGGAAGCTCTATACACCGGAAGTGTGGAAACTTCAATTTAGTTATTCGTGGCTCAAATGACGAGCAGTTACTTACAAAAAAAGTTGCTTAAATATACGATGCTTGCTAGGTATTTATCGTTGTACCTTCAAGCTGTTTACATTGTTTTTCAAGTCTCATCGAATACGAAATATGATCCGTGAGACACTCAACGAGGTGCCAATATTATGCTAATGTAATATAAACCATGGAATTATAATCTCTAGCGAAAAATACACTGTTTTAAAGTAAGATATAACACAAATACTTCAATTTTCGCAGTATATACAATGCCGATACTACTAAATTGAATTAATATAGGCATGTTATTAGGAAGATTTGCTTGATTGATATTAAACAGTCTCTTGTGCTTGACCAGGTATTTGTATCGGCGTGCCTTCACTTCGAGACCGACGGCATTGTTTCTTACGTTTGTCCTAGAATTTTCTCTTTAAGATCAAGCTTAATCCTTCATTTAACGCTAACAACATTCAGATGTCAAGTTCATTTTGCAAAAGAACGAACAACCACTTGAGACAGAAACACATTAAACCTTTCATATATTATTACTATTATTTAAAATGGCAGTTCATTAATTAAATTTCCACCTACTGATATACACCGATGGTGAAATTATTTCATGAGTCGAACATGAAATAATTCCCAATAATTGAACGAAAGCATAGGTCGTACCGCTGTGAATAGAACTTTTTTTCTTGTTGACATCTCTATCTCTCCAGAAACGATAGTTGTTTTGATTCGGAGAGACAGGTATTATGTATAAAGTTATGCAGGGGATGTTATTGGCGTTCTGATTGTTGTCACCATCGTCATGCAATGGAGTCATTTTTTTGCGCTAATACTTCCACCGTCAGCTCCGACCGCGGTCCGAAGACACACAGGAGAGTGCGCAGGAGTGACATCGCGCTTTCGGTATAAATCAACCCGCAGCTATTTCACTCGGCAACTCTGTTTAATGAGTAATTTAGCTTTATGTTATGTTACAAACCCTTTCCGTCATTCGTGTTTAGTCATTTTTCAACGATGCTGCGTTACTGGTGTCACTTCGGCAAAACTCTGATATTCTTGGGGACCGTTAATGCTACAGCAGCACAAATCCGCCGAACGAACTAAACCATATAAGTAATTGTCGGACAGATTATCGATGTTACTTATTTAGAGGATAGAAAGGCGAGAGGGGAAACTATGCAGGAAAATACGTATATATTAACTATTCAATTTATAAAAAGCTATTATATAGGATCGTTATGGCCCAACAGCAGAAAATTATGTCTATAAGAATATATTTCTGCTTTTCTTTCTCTTGCAGGCGTGACAGTCGAGCACACCCCACTTCAAGCGCTGTTGCTGTTCACAATCATCATCATCATCATCACCCTTACTTTATCTAACCTTCTTTTTACGCGTCCTTCCTTCCACATCTCCATTCCATTTAATCTATGCCGTATAATTGTTCACTCTTCAGGACCTAGGTTATACAAAGCGAAACAACGCACTCTTCTCAAAGAATCCCGCTCTTGGTCTCACACTTCCTTCTCTCTTAGCTCGCATATGTCTAGATTACCGGCAATTATTTGTCGATAGAAACAATATTTTCAGTCATTTCTCATCCATCAACCCTGCCCAATAGTCTCGGTGTTTCTTCTGTTTTTTTCGCACCCATAACCCCTGTTGATCTCACCATCGATATCATACACTTATCATAAATTAATTTTCTTGTTCTTTATCTACATCTAAAAAATGTACAAGAACTAGCGCAGCTTAAAGCAGCTTACCGAATTGCAGGGAATGTTCAAAAAGTAACGCAACGTGTGCTGCTAGCTCTAACATTGGGACGGCTTAAGAAAGGAAAGGGGATGTTTACAGATACAAATACGTTACTTTTCGTGCGGTCAGTCTTGACAGCCTTAATAAGAGTCGCATTGCCTTCTCGGCACGCAATATTGTTAATAACATAGTTATTACTCTAGTTTTGTTTTTAAAAGTATACGCTCTGATGAATCTTTCTTCACCATCGATATTTTCACCTATATCACTCACTCGTACATTCACTTGTGCTGCGTTCACATTTTTCCTCTTTCTCACTACAGGAAATAACGGGTTTCGTTATCCACAGGAAATAAAAACAACTAAACTGAAGGATCTTTCTCATAGAAAAACGCACGCAGCATACACACAGGAGAACACACGTTTCCGTCAAGTTAAGCGAACTTGAACTTATCTCGGCTCATCACGGCTGTCTGTTGTTGTAAGTGCAGTTAGCTGTCTCTGTTCTCTTCTATAACGCGCGTTTTTCCCTTCGATCTCGTCTCTGCTCGACCGCGTCATAACTCTGGACGGTACAACATTGGCCGGCGGACACGTGAGTCCATTTACATTTGTATATTTCATCAGGCATTCGTATTAAATATAAGCTAGACAAGCAAACATAGATTAACGTACGATGTACTTATCGGAAGAGGAAGGCGTAATAATTGCTAAACGCTTTTATATTCCAGCTTTGCAGCTGTATAGAAAAAAAAAAATGAGACACATGATAGGTGAGTGGGGCGTTACTGAACGTGGCAAACGCGACATGTCCATCATGTCAAGACCTGTCGACTGAAGCATCGACGGGAATTTAGACCGAAAGGAACTAAGCGCCAAGAGGTAAGCAGAATATAACAGGAACATCTTTTGCAACAGTAGAAATAATAGTAATAAATCCAATTGCTCTTATTAATCTGTGGAAGTAAATAGCGCAGGCAGCCAGTGGCTGTTTTATGTCTAAATAATTAACGAACGAATCAGATTAATAATTATAGGAAAACTACAGAAGCGAGTAAATACAAGATAAACAGGCATATGCAGTAGAATGCAAATTGAAATGATTGTGGTTCCGTTGCACGCAATCGACGATGGCACAACAGGAACTATCGGTACCCATTCAGTGCAGAACTTCACCGAAAACTTAAGTCATGACGCCCAGATGCTGTTGCCCTACGGTCATTTAATCCGCCCGTAAAAACAGTTATTAACTGCAACCCAACATATTGTGCATTAGTGTTTAAATACATATTGCAATTATTTTGGCGAGGACTTATCGTCTCATTACCTTCGTATAAACTAAGATCATATTAACATGCCGTTTTTCACAGCCTTCGGTAAAATGAATCAAAATACAAATGTAAATCAGAGGTACACGTTTCCTATCGCTGCCTACATAGAAAATGAGTTGATCTAGAGTTCTCGTTAAAACACTTCTGCTTTTTGTCTGTCACCATAGAAAATAAAAATCTCAGTAATTTTTGTTGCTCAATATTCAGTTGTTTTTCGGTTCTTATTATTTCGTTCATCATTCTTATTGCTTGTTTGTATTGGTTGGTTATATTATAAGCTGTTACTATATGAGGATTATTTCACTCAACAAGACTTAGGAACGGATGTTTACAAATTGACAGTTTAATAGGACGATTGAAGAAGCGTCCACTTCATCAAAGCTTGATGATTGATACACATTACGAAGCTGGACAACTAATTTCTTGATAGAAAAATGATCAATATTGTTAGTTGACTTTGTGTCTAAAAATGAAGCTATTTTATCTGAAATAAGTGCTTGTTGTCCTTTAGAACATTGTCGTTGTGCACGAAAAAAGATTAACGACAGAACGTTAATTGTCTCGACCCCCTGATGACTGCTGGAATACATACGTCAAAAATTCTGTTGCGTCATGTGCACTGAAGGAATGAAATATGGTATTGAATAAAGTAGTAAAATAATCTAACATGATTCAAATAAGTGTTTCGGCCTAACAGATGAATATTCTGATGAATAGTTGAAACATAGCTCCCCATTCTTAGTCAGAGAAATTTCTATCAAAATGAATACTTGGAACTTTTCGTTGTGCCATAAACTCTAAAGTATATATATATATATATAGATCATTTGTTGTCTCGGGTTTGTTCCTGGAGCGCGTCATGCTGAGCAGAACTGTAAAGAATTATTTGTCATGTTGTTGTCATCAATAACCACTGGACTCGCTGCCATTTATATGTATGTCTCTTTTTTCCGCTGACTATTTACAGCGGGTATCGCACTTTTCTCCTGAACTCGTGCCGCGGCTTCCTGCGTTCTCCTCCTTTTTTCCTTCTCCTTCGCCTTTTTCGTCTCATCTTCCTCTACTATCACTTGAAGTAACCATCCCCCCTCTAGCTTCCCTACTTTATTTTATATCCCTATAACTATTCTCGACAACAGTGTGCCGTAACGGTGCGTGCTACAGCAGCTCGACCACATATCAATATCATAGCGCAGTCATCATTCAGTTCTGGGGATCAACAATCAATTGTTGTTGTTATTGTTATTCGCTGGATCACAGCCGCTTTTGGGTTTCATTGCCCAACCGTTTCCCCATCACGTTGAGCTGCCGACCCTGCCACGAACTCAACCTGTTTTTTCTCCCTGCCACTCCCGTCGCTCTACACGCGACGCGTTCTTCATTCGCTCGTTCGTTTAGTTTCTGCTTTCCTTTTTAATTAACACAACAACGTTTCCATGAAACTTCCCGATCAATAGCCGCCAGTAGACTAACAGCTAAAGAAGGCGGGACATTGTCTCTATTTGAACTTCGTGAAAGCAGTTTTCGCCTCCAGCCACAACAAAAGACTCAACCACAACATAGCATTTCCATATAATATGATCGTGATTGCTACACGACGCGCTTCCGTTAGGAGGCGCCCTTTCGCAACGCTTTTGCAACAACACTATTTGCTAACTAATATACAGTTATTACAGTTAATTACAGTAGAGTTCCATGTGCGCATAGATACATTCTTACATTGGTACCCTATCTCTCTGGCTCTTTATGTTTGTTGCGCGTACTCCGGCAGAGACATTCGTCATCTGTTTGATGACCGTTGATTCCCTATTTATAATCGACTTGATGGTCCGGTCTATTCGATCCGCAGTAGAACGGTGCCGATCCCTGCGACAATAGTACGTGTAGAGCAATAGCGGTTCACTCGAATCATGTTTGCTGCCCTTTTTATTCAATATTTTCGCCTTGTCCTTTCCTTAAAAAGCTTCGCCTATTCTGCTCGGTTTGATACCATCAAATCATCGCCAATACTCGTTTTCATAGTTTTTTTTTTTTCCATTCGGGTGAAAGCAGAAAAAAAGCGCTATTGTTTTCCGTTCACTTTCATTCACGCATTCAATATTTTTTTTCATCTCACTTAGTACGCGCGTAGTGATATCTCAGTGACGATCTGTTTGTCACCGCTGCCGTCTCGCGCGCTTCTTAAGAGCATAAAACCGTAAAGATACGTTCACACACCTTCATTGACAATCGATCCGACCTCGGTGACTCGCACGGTTCGATTATCCCTTTAATTATATTCCTAAATATATGACAATTAAAGATTGCAACGAATGAATGAATGAATTGAGTGTGTCAGTGATGATGACCATGGATGTGCCGTCCATTCCAACTTGATCGTTTTCATCACCACCACTAAATATTTTCATAAGTTTAATAAAGTTTGTCAAATAGAGTGTTCATCCCGTTTTATCAATATAGGTGTGATCGATTAGTGATAATGATAATAATATCATTCTTGGAATAATAACTACAATTATTATATTCGTATTTACCCAGAGATCAACATCAACGGCCTAGTTGTATCGAAGTCTATATACACATAGCATATCTAAACCATCAGAAATCCTATTCTTCTCGAGACGTCGTCCTTCATTATCGATTATTGTTACTATAATATTGAATAGATTTATATTAGACATCTCTTTAGTTTGGTCGTCAGTGTTTCAAGCTGACCTTCCTATAAGCCAATACATAGTTTCGGCAGAAGTAAGTAGGCCATCAAACTTGGGACAGAAGGGGAAGGGATGATAAGTGAACCTAATAAAGCTGGCCTTATCCACCAATTGCAATTTGTGGTGGTAAGTTCCGTAAAGGAGACGTTCGATCAGAATGTTTTTTACAAAGGCTGGTTACGATCAACACCATTAGCATCACCGCCATCATCATCCTTTCATTATAATTAATTCTTTGAATTTGTTTTCCTATTGGTCTATGCTTGTTATCTGGGTCTCACATTCGTACGCAGCTAGCGTCCTCTTCATCTGAGCTCTCGTCTTCATCCGGTGAACCTTCTTCACTTCTGTGCTCTTCACTGCCGCTCGCACTTCCGGTGACGCTTTCGGCCCCATTTCCATTGCCACTTTCCAAAGGCTCACGTATATTTGCGTCGAACGTAAGACGTATCACAGCCGTCTCAGGAAAATCCCTGTTCTTGCACGCTTTGTCGAGCTGATATTTATTGAGTGATAATACCAAGTAACGACCCTCAAGGCTGACGACAGATCCCGTGTGGCCCTCTAACCAAGAACCACCGCCGCCCGTCTGCTCTTCGCCTGCAGGTTCCGAATACGGCCGTTGTTGCTGCCCATTTTCATGCGAGACACATGATTCTTCCAACGGAGCAGACACTGGCCCATCTGAAAACGACATCGACGCGGTTTGTGAGCCCGATGCAGGACCGCCTGATGCTGAATCTGCGGAACCTCCTTGGTCAACGCCGGGGCCTGGCGGTGGCGCTGGGGATCCCATAGTTCCTCTGGAGTCAGCGCCATCATAGTTCTTGATAAAGAACGTATTAAAGCACATGCTGAACATCTTTTCCTGTAAATAGTCAACAAAATATTACGGGATTAAGTCGAAAATATATCTGCTCTAAGACGCAACATTTGCCATAGAAAAGAACTTGTTTTAATATACTAGAGCGGCAACGTATTATTTTTACGAAGTTTTCTGGAATATACAAACTGAATACTGGAAATTGACATTTTGTTGCCGGTTGACTCGGCCGTCGGCTTCTATAAATATTTCTCTCTCACCTTAACGACAGGAAGAATTTTGTTTAGGCAGAACTCGATTTTAACATCACCATAAACCTCAATAGGTTCAGGAATCTCAAAATGCCAGCGCGCACCTCTGTTCCGGGTTTCACCCATAATCACCGACTTTTTTCGATCTGAAAATACGCACAACATTGCTTGCCGTGTTAGCTAATTATTTGTGCTTCGTTGTCATTTTATTTGCGTATATAACAATTGGGCACTGTGCTTCTACTGTTTCGTGTTGAGATTATGCTACGATCTACAGAATGGACGACTCTCAGTTACGCAACCCTGTGCAACACTGAGCAAAACTTTACGCATTTAAAGGTAGAATTCCGTGCGATTTACTTCTATTGGTTAAATTGCAACTCAGACAACGACGTCTATCTAGAAATAAAGCAAGAAGAAGCTAGTGAAGAAACGTATGAAGATCGTCAAGCTTTGATAGAAATCTCACCGGTCATTTACTACACTAGCTACGTTTTTGCTTTCACTACAATAAATTCTTCCGGATTATTTCTCTTCCTCTTAGCTAGATAAGCATTACTATCTTCGTTACTTTCTACAATATGTACTTACAGAAGTAAGTGGCATGAAACCTTATATTAATTATTATTATTATTATTATTTTTTTTTTTACTAACTCTTGCGCTATTTCTTCTGTGGGAACGAATTTTCTGAATCACTCAACATCAAGAAATTGCTTTGCTAGAACGTGTAACCGGAGACTCCTGCCGGACATGAGTATGTTTTATCTAATACGTTTATGAAGCGGCATGGTAACAATCTGAGCAGTCATAAACCCAATTTTTGCTCCTTTTTCAGTAATATTTCCTCGTGTTTATTCTCCTGGTATTTAATTCCTGACATTAACTGTTTTCAACGCTGAGATTCGAACTAGCATGACTGAATCATCGTTCTATAAAAATACCATAACAACACATTCAAATGAACGTATGATGACCACCTAGACCGCATGAACCATTGGACGTTGACTACTTTTTCCATAGAACTGCGAAACTTTCGAAGACTCTGTTGGGTGCTTTTAGAAGCAAAGAAGCTACAACGATGGTCGTTCGTCAGTTTAAGACCTAAAACACATCGCTGATGCACTGGGTCGATCATATACTACTAAGCTACTTTGCTCCGTTACTTTCATTCCGCTCAGATTAGAAATTTTCTCGTAGGTTCAAACAGAGATGTGTCGGCTGGCAATGCATAGCGTTTTCGACCTCTGTTTTACTGCATGCTTCTTCTAATATCAAGAAATAGTGGAAGTACCCAAAGCATTTGTTCAATATGCAATGAACATCCTCTAGTTAAGAGATGTAACCCTATTTTTCGCCAAAAGTTGCGCACACACAAGATTTTCGACACATTCGAAACTTGGTGGAGACAGCTCTTCAGGTCAAAGGTGCTATTCTTGAATGAAGCAAGCCACTCTCGAATAGTATTCTCAGCTATGGCTTACTCGTCATACACGCTACAACTCTCCCAAGTCGTTTCAATAATTACCCTACTGAAAGACCAGTGATAAATGCCTAACATGCCCATATTCATATTTTTACTTCGAACGTATGAGCCCCATAGCATGATAGCAATAAGCTTGTAGAGATATTAGGTTGGCTAGTAAATTGCCGCGTTTTCCTCAATTCCCTTAACTTATCACCTGCTCCTTGTGTATCGTTCGAAAAACGCTTTTCATTTTCTATTAGCGTGCTTCAACGATATTGTAGCAGGCACAAAAAAAAAAGCACAGCTTCGATACTTTCTATGCTATATGTTTCGTCGAAACCAAAACTCTGCCGAAACAGCCCAGAATATAGTCCTTGTGTACGGTAACGGTACTATCTTTTGAAGAACTGCGTAAGAATACTTTGCCACGTTCGACGACGATATCCAAGATCTATCGATATCTAAGGATGTCCCTTGCTCTTGCCGACCGTCTAAATTCTAGTCAGCCGAAAAGACGAGCTGCAGCCACATAACCATCTTAACCGCTTAAAATATCCTGTGTATACACTGAAACGTGAGTACAGAATTATCACCAATTAAGAGAAGTGGTGTCCATATATCAATATGAGTTAGACATCGGACTGGATGGCTTCAGGAGAGAAACTGCCTCAAGTCACCTGGGTTTACAGAGAAACTTAGATATTGGGTACCTCATGAACTCTCTAAATCCATCTAGGAATTGCAACTTAACGTTTATTCAGCATTCCGCGCGGTACCAAGCGTCGCGCAACTACAATAGCCAATTTTTGGACGAAATTGTCACTGGTGTCTCTATGTCAATATAAACTGAATGGGTGACTCTAGGAAATACGCCGAGGTTCAATATTCTATCAGATCTTTATCCAAAAAAAAGCTACACTTTGCGGAATTGCAAGAGCCTGATATGCTGGGAAGTTCTTCCTACGGCATATTTATTTGGATCCAGTCAACTAAGCTATTTCAGAGAAGAAACTCGACAGGTGAGGTCAGATCATCCTGCTCCATGACAACACGAGGTCACACACGACAAACATCGTCAATGTTGCTTTCTCAAATTTCAAATGGGAGGTTTTCTATTCAGGAAATAGACCACGAAAACCTATGATCCAACCTTACATATATCACTTGACCATCAGCAAAGGAAAGCGATGAACAAAAGCCAACATTGCTTAAGTACAGACATAAACAGTACATACAATTATATGAAACATGTTGACTTTTGCGTGGCTTAACTTTCTTCACGGAAAATTAAACCACCTCACTGAATCCGTAACCCATGCCTATAGACGCATCGTTGAATGAATATGCTGAGGTGTTAAGCCAAATATCTTCTAAAAACGTTAGCTAATTGCTTGTAGCCGGTGAAATTCGGCAACTAAAAGGACAAACAAGTACAAATTAATATAGAGAAAGTTTTTTTCGCTTCTTAAGTTTATTGCACTTAAGTGGATTGTACTCACTTCCACAAGAGACACAGAAGACCATCGACGAGCCTTTCGAGTTTATTTGGAGATTTTCCACGGTGACAGCTCGTAACCTTAAACGAGTGGTCTTGCATTTGAGAGAGCACGCCTTTATTCGAGCGTAGTATTCGACGTAGCGTCGTTGTGAAGGTATCGTCACGCCCTAGAACGTGCGGTCATAACATGACATTTAGTCATCATTAATCTACATACAGATACAACATACACTTGGTTATCGTGCACACTTGAAGAGGTTAGAGTCTCAACAGCTCTGTCGGTCTCTCGCTCTCTATTTCAATGATACAATGATGTATAAATACGATGAGATTTCTTTGGGTAGTTCTAGAAACAGCATCGTTCCAAGATCCTGTATATAGACCATTCTCTATCGATGGACCATGGTTATGGTATGCGACAAAAGCATGAGACAAAGTTCCTATATTTTTAGATCATTTTGGTTGGAGTAGATGATCTTATAAATCGGTTATATAACTGCAGTAGAAGAGTACCTTTCCATCAGAAGTTCGCTCTTCTGCATAGTGATTTAACGCCTCTTCGGCAGTTGCAAATCTTCCGCAGTGCAAAAGATAGCAACATATCATCACTCCTGTACGCCCTGAAAAAATATTTGGGAACATGCAAGGATAATTTGTCGATAAGCATTTTATGACAAGACGACAGTATTTTTTTTCCAACTGGGTGAATTTAGTTATGGGTTTCATACTATATAAAAAAATGTATCATGCCGAATATAAAAGGACAATGGAACAACTAATAACTTCATCCGAATTTCTGCAAGAAGTACCCTATAACGCGCTTACCTTTTCCAGCTTTACAATGGATGGCGACCATATTTTTCTCATGGCTAGAGAGCCACTCATGTACGTCTTGACAGAAAGGCTCAATTTTGTCGATTGGCGGTGGTTCGTGATCCCCAAAAGAGTAAGCATTACACACCTGAAGTCAATCACATACGATCATCAGATCCATCATCCAAATGAACTAATTGAGTCACGCGCTCTTTGCGCGATAACAGAGTTATTCAGTTTAGTCAATTAACTATTAACTATCATAACCCAGATAATCGAATTGTCCGGGCATCTTTAAAAGATTTAAGCTAAGCTGCTCGCTCGTCACTGACTGCCGATATTGGCACTCAACCATTGTCTTATATTCAAGTTGACGTGTGGTAAGCACTCGTAGCAAACGAAAAACTAAAGATGTCAACTCAAGATACTTAACGTATTTTATATAACCTTTGGCATACCTCATACGTGCCTCATACATCGTCCAGCAATCGATAAAGCACAGACAGGCAATTTGCTTTCCTGACAGGCGGGCGATGCATCGTGTTCCGTACTACATTATATATTATAGATCTCACACCAACCCATACATGTTTTATGTTTTACGTACAGTACTTGAGCCGTTAGACCTTCAAACGGCTGACGAAGTTTGTCTACGCCTGGATTTGAACCTAGAGAACCAGGTGTTCCTAACAGGAAAACACGTTACCCAGTGCGCGGTAAGCGGCACAACTTCGACACAACGGCAACTTCAAGCACACCAGGGTTCAGCGGCAAGACGCTTTTATATTATAGAAAGTGCCATCTGGACGTCATTCATAAACGCGCCACGTAAGACTGAGTTGTGCTCGACATGTCAACAGTAGCCAATGCCTATTCATATTACTGTCTATACCAAAAAAGAGCGCAGTGTTATAGAAAACGGATTTGATTTTCTACTAATTATGAATATAGGAAATGAATTTGTTAAGTGAAGTTAGAGTTGCGTAACTATATAAAAAAAGAACATAAAATAGATACGTACGTCTCCGCTGAATTTGTCCGTCGGATAGTGACATCTTTTCCTCTCTTTGCAGAGATTATATATTTTGTAGTGATCCTTGTGAAATTGATCGAGAAATTTGGCTACCTGCTCCATTTGATTGCGGTAGATACCTTCGAAATTATTGGCAGGATATCCCATTGCAACGATATTTGGCTCGATGTACGACAAGTCAAGGTTAAAGCCATCATATATGAATCGTTTTTTGTTGCGCGACACAGCCGCGCGTAGATGGTCCGTCATCCCCTCCACTTTGAACGACTTAGAATACCGCTGACAGCTCCTTTAATTGAACTGCCGGCGCCGTGCCGTTGGCAGAGCACACAGCAGCAGCAGCAGCAGCAGCAGCAGTAGCAGCAGCAGCAGCAGCAACAGCAGCAGCAGCAGCAGCAGTAGTAGTAGTAGTAGTAGTAGTAGTAGTGGTGGTGGTGGTAGTAGTAGTAGTAGTAGTAGTAGTAGTAGTAGTAGTAGTAGTAGTAGTAGTAGTAGTAGTAGTAGTAGTAGTAGTAGTAGTAGTAGTAGTAGTAGTAGTAGTAGTAGTAGTAGTAGTAGTAGTAGTAGTAGTAGTAGTAGTAGTAGTAGTAGTAGTAGTAGTAGTAGTAGTAGTAGTAGTAGTAGTAGTAGTAGTAGTAGTAGTAGTAGTAGTAGTAGTAGTAGTAGTAGTAGTAGTAGTAGTAGTAGTAGTAGTAGTAGTAGTAGTAGTAGTAGTAGTAGTAGTAGTAGTAGTAGTAATAGTAGTAGTAGTAGTAGTAGCAGCAGCAGCAGCAGCAGCAGCCAGCAGCAGGCGCTCCTTCTGAGCGCGGTGACTCTGTGTCCCGGTAGAGCCCCGGTGGCGGCAAACTCTAGTTTAGCTCATTTGTTCGTGTGCACCAACGCTCTGTGTGTGGGCGAATGATAAATCGCTATTGCTGCGATGACGGGGTTGAATTAGGATCGGGGGGCGCGGAGGAGGGGAGGAGGATGTAAGGTTATGACCAGTCGGACATTGTTAGCGACCTTTTCTGCGACGCTGCGAAGAAACGGTGGAGGGGGTAAATGCGATGCCGCTTCTTCTTCTACTCCGCCGCTCCGATCACCGCCAGCACCCATCACCATCGCCACCATCGGCACCACCTATTACAGCAGCGCGCGTACCACTGTCGCATCGACTTCACTGAAAATTCTTCATTGAATTTTGCCTCTTACGCTAATCACGACGAGTTAGCATCTCAAAAAAAGACCGACAATAGCCACGGTTATGTTGTTAATGTTGCTTTTTGTTCGACTATCGACGGACTAGCAGTTGCTTTCGTCGTCGTCGTCGTCGTCGCCGCCGCCGTCGTCGTCGTCGCAATTGTTTTGCGGCGATTGCGCCAATTTCGATGGCAAAGAGGATAACGAAAATAAATCTCGTTGCTGTTGCGACAGTGGTAGTAGCTCGTTGTTGTCGTTTCTGATGATGATAATAGTAATCGTACTATTGTTATTATTATTATGGTGACGCTGCTGCTGTTATAGTTGAGCAGAAGAAGACAGAAGGTGCAATAACGAATTTCTTCGTCTCGCCGCCTCTCTACTCCAAAGCTTCTATACTTTCCTTCCCAACGAATTTGAGCCTTCGCGAAAAATAAAAAAAAATTCGATCGAATGACAGCCTAAGTAACGACGATGCCACATCTGAACCTCTACGTTGTTTCCAACAGAGTCAAAAAAAAATAATAATCGCCTGAAAAAGCCGCAAAAATACAAAGGAAAAATGAATTTATTATTAGAAACACTGAACTTAAAGATAATTTCTCGTACATATATATATGTAGAATATATTCGAGGTTATCTTCATAAAATAAGCGAACAACGACAATGTCTAATTCACTGCTGCTGAACATAATATTTGAAAGCCATATACTTAATCGCTCGCTTCGTGCAAGTTCTTAAAGATGACGAACCCGAAGTCTTGATGTCGCATGAAATCGCTCTCTACAAATTTCTATCTGTACCTAGGCGTAGTAATACAGTACGTATATAATATAAAAACTACAGTCAGACATAGCCTTTAATAAAAAAGAAAACAGCCTTCAATCAAGATTTTTAATTAATCATAGCCATATTGGTGGGATTCATAAATATGCTGTTAAACATCTCATGCATCTAAAAACGGAATATAATACGCTTACTGTTAGCAAGGCAGGGCGAATGCAACGCGTTCAGATGAACAGCTTAGCAATAGATGTGGTGCTTATAGGTGATTATCAACAAAAATGCCCTTTGCAGGTCAAGTTTACTAACCAATACACCAACTTATATTTAACTAGGCACATGCAATTTTGTGTCATTACGATATCTAGTTCGTTCAAGTTTATGTACTTGTGCACGATCGTATGATCTATGCAAACTCTCGCATACGGATAACAGACGAGATAAGAAACGCCCACTAATAGGACGAGCCATTGGTTCGCCCTGGCGCGCTGCACCCGCATAAAAAGCAAAACTAGGAACTCTAACGACACAATACACCACAAAACAAACATTTATCGTAGGAGCAATTGTACAACAGTAGCTGGTGACAACCCGGACAAACCACACGAACAGTACTGTCTAATTGATCATACGGAATAAATTATTATTTACCATTTATAGTCGAACGAGACGTATACGTTAACGATATGTAAGGAAGAGGAATGGCCATGGCACTTAGAGTATCCACTGAACAAAATCACAGACTAAATAATACTAATTTTATTATTAATCATGTACGTAAAGGTTAACATTCACCAGCAAAAGTAATGACGGATTAACAGACTGCTCAACCTATTGAACCCGATTGACTTGGGTAGGATCAGACTATGACGTACGTAGAAATACTTGGATTGGTTATTAGAAAATCTAATGAGAAACAAGTAAGGTTTCTAATATTCCGAAAGGAGATTGGAAACATTGGATTCAAAAGCGCTGTAGAACGCCCTATGCGTCCTAGAGGATGCAGTGGGTTACCAACTCCTATAATAAAACTAGGACGGATATTTGCGGACGTTAAGGCCCTCACGATACTGAAAAAGCGACCTTACGTTAAGGCAGCACTACAAAAGCGAACTATAATTATTTATGACAGGCCAAATGATATTTCGATTTTCTGGAGATGAACAATAACGATGTGGATGTAGAATATAACAAATGTCAGAGAATCACTTACACGAGCACTGAGCCCTTTCAAAATACAGGACAGCCTATTATGTACATTTTCCGTGATGAACGGTCTACATATTGAAGAGTTACCAACCGACCAACTAACCAATAAATCCAAACAACAAGCCGTTGTCGACCAATCGGGCAGCAGAAGCAGCACTCGGTCGGCAGACGCCGCCGTCAACGACAGTAACAACAACAACATTCACCGATTCACGCAACCGTAGACGGACGGACAGACAGAAATCACGCAGCGCGATGGCATAACGAGCTACGTCACACTCACGCTGTCGACCCCTGTATCCGTAGAATGCTCGTAGGAATAACTGTGTTGCAAGCAAAAATCGTCACGGGGGCCTAGGTTCGAAACCAAGCATAGACAGACACGGTCCGTTCCATGCTGGAACGGACCAGCCGTCTGAAACAATGATTAACTAGGCCAATACCGGACGTCAAACTGGAACGGTTTAGCTTTTAGTAAAAATCGCACAACTTTTAGTAGTCATCAATTATTTTCCATTTATTAACACCACTGCGCCTGTTACAACTGCTAATAGCTGCGGTGATAACTGCTGCAGTATTAGCACGACTGCCGTCGCGATGGTGACGTCTGTGGCGGCAGCCCCAGCTTTTGCCGGGGCCCGACGATGGCGGCGGCGACGCCGGCGGCAGTAAGAGCAACGACAACTGCTGTTGCTAGTACCGTCAGACAGATATCGTACCACAAACACAGACAGACAAAGACGCTACGCAGATAAATGGACAGTGCCGGGCATTAGTTAGAAAGAGACAGGCGAACGCACAGACTAACCAAGCAAGCTAACTAGCAAGCGCACGACTCACCACCCGACCGACTGCCAATTGGTCTTCTTCGTTTTCTCGCTGCTTGGCCCAGACAACAAATCGGAACTCGAAATTGCAATTGGCGAACGATGAGAAGAGACGGAGATTGGTTGAATCATTAGGCAACTCGATCTTTCCCTCCGTTAAGAACAACAACAACAATAGCAACAGCAGTAGTAGATACAGTGTAAAAAAACTCGGAGAGAGGGAGAGGACGGTGGCCAAGTAAAGAACAGAACTACAATATATGAAAGAAAAAATTACACTTTATGACGCGCCGGAAAAGCGCCTGATCCGATTTAGCCTCACTCTTATCTATCGTACAATTCTGTCCGTCGGTAATGCGCAGGGTTGACACAGGACACGAACTGGTGTTGTGATGAGGACAACTTTGACGTTTTCAATGAACTATTGCAGACTACCAGGCACCAAAAATAAATAGGATAATTCCACCTATCGAGACGCATTACCACCAGCGAATAAGACTTGCAAAGCATATATACTAAACACTGGCAAAGGTGACATAACCAATAGCCACTGACTTTTACACGTCGAACTGAACCGAAAACTCTCCCTCATCCAGCAAATCCTTGCTCGCTTAGTTATTACTACTAGTGTCAAGTAGCAGGACCAATGCTAACCGACCATGATGAAAATTTACCCTGCACGGCACACGAACAAAGAGTGATTGACCACCGGTGAACATCCACAGTTGAGACAATAGCAATAGCGTAGGTGGCTAATTGGCTGAGTAGAATCAACACCCGCACCATGGAGATCCCAACCTCCACCCCCCTAAGAGCACCACCAGCTAATCAACTGACCAGCAAAAAACGTTTCACTTTTATGCTTTGTTATTATGATTAATAGACAGACGATCCTTCTTTTCCTAACAGACACATATACATATATGTCTGTTATGTTTTTCGATGTTGCTTGCTTTTGCACAGTGTTGGTGGTGTTGTTGTTGTTGTTGTTGATGATGATGATGATGGTGGTGATGATGCTGACGGTGATGATGCTGCTGCTGCTGCTGCTGCTGCTGATGATGATGTCGCTCCCGATGTGGTGGGATGCATGGTAAAGCATAATAAACGAACGCTTACGAATAGTCGGGTGCTTAGTTTAATACAGTAATCGTGCTGCATCGATTGTAGTGGTCGACGACTTACGACGATTATGGACTGTATATCTGCATATGTTTGTCTGTGATTAACTCACTGGTTAGCTAACTGTTCGTTGACTATCATGTCGCGATTGCTTCAACGCTACGTTGGTTGGACACTTACTGTTACTCACTGGTGGAGGGAGGCCAGCTGTGGATTGGGGGAACGCCTGTGGGGGACACTTGTCGTCCGCCGCAGCATGGCGCGGCGCTCATTGAGGCACTGGCGACCAGCGGCAGTAGCAGCAGCGGTCCCTTTGCCGTGCCTTTGACCACTCAGAAGCGCCTTCGGAGCTTGCGGTCAAACTACTATAACACTGGGCTAAGATCGCATCACTCGGCCACCACCACTGCTCTCGGTGTCTGTCTGTGTATGTGTGAGCGTGTGTATGTGTGTATCTATGTATGTGTGTTTGATTAGTAGTAGCTCGCTGGCGGTGACGACTCCAAACCGCGCATGGCGTGCGAGTGAGCTGCACCTTGCGAAAAATCAAGGGTCCCTCCAAAAGGATGAGCCCTTACGGCGGGAAAATTTAAATCATATCTCGTCGCGTAGTCATTTCCGCGCCAGCAAGTGATCCACATTCGCCGTCGCGGGCGCCGCAAACGACGTACCAACTGTGTATCATCACGTACTATCTGCTGCACTAGAGATCAATTTTTTCACTTCATTGTGTAGAATCATTTATCACTGTCATAAATTAGCACAACCCATATAGTGCCGTCGCACACAATGCGAATTCTATGCATATGTGTACAACCGGTGTAACAGAGCGTTAGTCTGAGTCCGGTTGCTTTTTTTTTATATTTTGCGAGAAAGTATGTGAAAATTGCAAAACATAATTATACCAGTCTTCCATGATCAAAAAGTGTAGATTTGTCTTGCAATGGCACCTTTCACAATTAGTGCTTGGTATATATATATATACAGAAGAGGTATATATAGCAGAGGCGTGACTAAATGAAAAACATTTTAAGCGTTCTATAATCCCCTGCGTAAAGGTCTCGAACATGCATCGTCGCAAAACCAATATAGCTTTGTTTCCTCTAATTATACGGTTATAGGTTAATAAGTCCAAGCAGTCGATAAGCTCGTGTCTTTTTTCACACGTAAGCATTGTTTCTGAAATGATGAATAAATGCGAAATGCGTCCGATAAAAACTACAGTAGGTGAAGCTCAAGTCAAGTCATATACATACTTATCATGAGGCTTTAGCTTAAAAACCTTAGGGGCAATTTTGGGAAAAATGTTATCCCATGGCTTATGAAATGTTCTGTGTCTGTCGTAATAGGATTGCAGCTGAGCAAGTTACGGCGGATATAATGGTATACACATGCGACATGATAAGTAAACACAGAAATATAGTAATAAGCACATTTACATATGCGATATAATCCACAGATTGCTAAGGTTAAACGGTTCTATATCGAAACTATCAGAAATAACTCATCAACGTGACTCTTTAAACAATGGTGTGCGTTTTTAGGTAAGTCCCGCTTTATCTTATACCGTCCGTTGTAGATTATATCTGAATTAGTATACACAGTGTACACTCCCTTGAGTAAGACTTGAGTCCTCAAGGAGCCGATTATCCATATCCCCACTGCGTTTCGCAACTTCAAAGTTACGAACATTATAATGAATGTAGTAACTTGTTGGAAATTATTAATTTCTGCAAAAGCTTATAGTTTTGCGCTTTATAATGATTCCGTAAAAATAATTAACGGCATAAAAAGTTGCGATGCTAATATTCCTCACTCGGCTCCAAAAGTCAGGTGAAACCACAAGTCAAAAACCTTTACTAGGTATCCGCCGTATAGTGTTTGCGGATTACACCATTAACGTGGCTTTTGTTTCTTTATTCTTATTCAAGAAGTGATAATTTGTCTTTGCTTTTTATTAATTTCATGTATAATATATATATATATCTCGAATCTATTATATCTATTTGGAGTCGATACACACAATGGTTTAAATTATTACTGATCAAGTAAGCGCGTGGTCTAGCAGACGACGTTAGTCTGGAAGAGGAAGTAAACACACCAAGATGATGAATCAATCAGTTTGTTTGGGTGAATTGAGATCACAGCTGACAGAAACCTGCGAAGAGCATCAAGTCAAAACTACAGAAAAAAACAACAGCGACAGTTGTCTCGCTCTATTCGAGCGGCAAGTTTACAGGTATATGAATGAATTCTTCATTTTGCGTGACGATCATTTGTAGATTATTTAAGACGGTACTACACATAAGTTTGATGAAATGTTTGTCGGACGCTAAGCAGGACAGCGCGCTAAACATATTTTATAACTATATATCAAACAAGTATGGAGGCGGCTTTTGAAAAAAAGATTTGGTTTGAAAATCTAAAAGCAGCAAAAATCATCTTTGCCGAGAACGAGAAAAAATGTTTAGTTGCATACTAATTTGACACACTATGGCCATTCAAATGATCTTCATGGTTTTGTACCTACTTTGGAAATTTTCCTTGTAAAGATTATCAGTTAAGTGGGTGAAAGTTTTGGATTTGAAAATACCATCATTACTTTGCTTCACTGTCTAATTTAACGACCTAGTTAGATCGAACAACACTAGTCGATTAGAAATACTTAGACTCAAAAATAGGTTCATTTGTTTTGTTCCATTTAGATTGTAAACCTTCACAGAAAAGTATGTTTATAAAATTTGGGTGTGGAGTATCAGTCAGCTATTAAAAGAGTGGATCGATGTATACACTACACAAATACAGTATGGTAGGCTACTTTTATTAATTGCAATTTGCGTATAGGCCATTGACGCGTACCAATTATCGGTAAATTTAGGGATCGGTTCGTGCAACCAAAAAACTCGACGTAAGGATCTCAACGTAACGGATCAAATCATGATTGATTATCTGGGTTTTGCTTATGCGGCGGTTGTTGCCGTAGGAGGTGTGATGGGATACATAAAAGCCGGCAGCGTAATGTCTCTGGGAGCAGGTAATCAAAATATGAGCAGCAATAAACGGATTAATGCGTTTCATACTATATGTTTCAATACAAACGCTTGTAAAGTATTGTTTATTGTCATTTTAGAATGTCGGCAGCTGGCCAGAAAATTTGATGACGGCACGATTTATCAACTTCTCTTTATGATGAATGCATATATAACATCGAAGGAAATTTAACTATATTGGAACAATAATGACTTCTTACACATAATATCAGCTTCGTGTAAGAGCAGATGCATTATATTTGGGCATATCTTATATTCTTAATTGACTTCATCTGATTAATTTTCGTAAGTGTGTTTATTTGTGTTACAAACAAGATTGATATTTATTTTTTAGGCTTATTTCTAGGCCCGAACAGTTTTCGTTTCTTCGCGTGTTTCTTAACGTTTTTGTCATCGAGTCTTGAAGCTTTTCTAACAACAAATAAACACACAAAATGACCACGGTCTAGAGCAATTAAGTCGATGTCAAAACATACATTTTTTTTTTTCGCTTTTTTTCAGGAGTAACATTTGGCTCGTTGGCAGCACTGGGTGCTTACCAAATGAGCGCGGATCCTGCTCGTTATCAGTCTCTGTTAGTGGTATCTTGCATTCTTGCTGCATTAATGGGCTATCGCTACACAAATTCTGGCAAATTTATGCCAGCCGGTCTAGTAGCTTCTCTTTCAATTGCTACAGCGGTTCGAATTATCCTCACCAAAGTCTTATTTGTTGGTGGGCTAAACCATTAGCGCAATTGCTATCAGTTCTCGCCAGCTAAAGTTATCTTAATATTTTTCTACCTGAGAAACTGCATGCATCTTGCTTTGGCGGTTAGCGCTTGCTGCAATTTGTATAATAACGGCCCATAGATGTAAGAAAAGGTTACATCACTTTTTCTCATGATATCATATCAACATTCTGTCAAGTTTCTTAATTGTTGGCATCATTTTAGTTCAATAAATTCAAAATGCACTATTACAAACTAATAAGAGTAACCAACAAAATGCGCAAATCTATTCTTCACAGTTAATAAAGTACGAACATTTTTTATACAAAAACTTAATACCGTCCATGTTTTCGTCCAAATCGGTTCTCTACTGCAAACAATAGCGCTTGAATGTTCAAAGGCTAAATAATTACTGCAGTTATTTTTTGTTAGCATACTTACTTTTGTTAGAACTAAGTTTTTTTTTTCATTTAAATTTCTATCTTTTCTGCGGATAATTTTGAAGTGACAGTTTACATTTTTTAGTGATTGTGATTAGTTGTTATTTTAGCGCTATTATTTTAGCTGCTAGACTTATGCATCTATAATTTCTTATAAGCTTAACCATCTGTAGAATACAAGACTATTGATTCGAATATCCCGTATCCGTCTGTAGATCTGGGTTACGTATCCCTATTAACAGCTCTATTAATAGCTATGTGGTAGTTATCGGCTCAAACCCCAATAAGTTGGCATAATCGTAAATTGCTAAGAATTCTTTATAATACGGATGTGTTTTTCTACATCCGCAAAGCTTTTTCCAAATCATGTAATATTATTACTATTATAACATAAACAACGCGTAGGAATATGGTTGTACCAATAAGCTTTAGTTTTAAAATAACTAAAGCTAAGTATACATGAGCGCATTTATTATTATGTATTGCTAATATTTATAATATAGAGGTAATGTGTACAATTTAGGAGGGTGGTTTTCAATTTACGGTTTGAACATCAATTGTTCCACAATACTTTCATGAGATCTCTAGCTTAAGTCGGTTTAAATACGACATCTAAAGGCTACACAACCTGTGTGAATAAAAAAAGCGATTATTGAATTTATTTATGTACATCTATCTTTACAATTTACTGAGAACGATTTTTATAATATACTCAAAAACCATAAGGCAGCATTGTAGTGCGCGGATTTGCCTAAAACTTGAGCACAAAAACGACAGTGGGTAATCTCCGAAAAGCACTGCATGCCTGCTAGTAACTTAATACAGCTACCATTGCGAACTTAAAGGTTTCTTAAGGATATTTACCAGGTAACGCTTTGAAGGCATAAACGTAATGAGTATTCTGCAAAGGGCCGGGCGCTTGTTAATTTGGATCAGCTCTGTTGTCATAACTTCGGTGAAAGTAATTCAGCTTCGTAAGTTATTCTTGAGGTAAGAACGCATACTACAAGGGAAAACGCTCGTTGGCTCGCAGGATTGTTCTACTTTTAGAAATAGCCATTATGTGATTACTAACGTGAGGCTGAGTGAATAAGAGCAAAAAATGTTTATTTTGATAAAGCACGCAACACAGAACCATGCAATTGGTAATCCGCCATGTTAAAACTGTTTAATTTTCGAAGTCACCTTGAATATGAATTAGAATTCCTTAACAATTATGTTTTGATACCTCAACAATACAAATACATTACTTCCTTTATCTAAAACTATCAAACTTAATAAATAAATAAATAAAACTATCAAACAAAATAGAAATGCATGTGGCACAAATTTAGTTCAACAATGTTACCTGTACGCATTACAATGAATTGTACGAATTAACGAATGATATCACAGGTAGAAAAACAGAAAACAAATTATGACATTTTTATTAATTTGCTTTTAATAGAGTTCGGTACCTGGAGGTGATTTTATCATAGAAATAACGAAAGAAAAACAGAATATTGTCTACTTTCTCCGCTTCAAGACAGCTCTGAATCATCAACCATCGGCGACAGATCTCGTGAAGGGCCTCTACAGTGGCTAAATACTCGAGGTTTTGTCCTCGTTGGGGGCGCCAAAATACGCTCTTCCGACCCGTTAGGCCCGCCCTGAAAATAAAAACTCACATTACCAGTTCGATTATTTATAAATTAGCTGAGATTTTTTGGTCTGGAAATATACTGTCGAGTTAGTGGGCGTCAATACGATTCCTACAGCATTTTAGCATGGGAAATGGCGATAGAAAGCTCCAGCTCCAGGAACGAAAAAATCAGAAAATCAAAAGGGCAGTCAGTGGCATTGAAGTAACTTTTGACTTAGACAAATCAGTCAGTGACGAGTGTCACTATAATTTCTAGTTACGATAATGTATCTTGTTTGTGGCTTGCTTATTGAAAATATATTTCTGTCGGTTACCGTACGCTTTAAGGGTGATTGCCGAATGATCTGTAATTCAACGGTGTTATTTTTGAGGCTCACCTATAAGGAAGACTGGCAATTCGGTCATCTAAAAGAATTTTTTTCGTCTGGCACCATGTTGAATCAATAAGGATTACCCGATTGAAAGCGAATTTTATATGTCGTCCTTCACATAATACGCATTTTTCTTCAGTGCCTAGTTGGACGGATCTCTGGCGACAGACATCATCGAATTGTTCTTTGCATGGAAAAATCAACAGTACCTTCACAAACAACAACAACAACAAAATGTCTGTAGTAATCTGGTGTACCAACGTACGATCCAAAGTTGAAGAAACAATACTATGCGGATCGTATAATCAACTTCTCGGCTGCGTCATGGATTTATATATACCGTTAAGTCTATTTGTACACAATTTCTTAATTCGTGTAACCTTTATTCATATTTCGATTTCGTTGTAATAAAGTAAATAACTTTTTCACAGGCCACAGATGAATATATGATATATAGGTTTGAGACACCTTTCGGAATTTTTACCCGCTAAGCCTAGGCTTTCGAATAGGAGGGAATATGAAACTCATTCGCGACTTCAACTTCTTTTATGACTCGATTTAATTTTTTTAATTTTTTAAAAGTTACCATTAGACTATATGTTCGGCTTTATCATCTATAATCGGCCTGTATGTAAACTATTTCATAATACATACAAATACATCGTCTATCCAAAATCTCTTGAACTTCTAACATGATGATTATTATGTACTTGGGTAAGCTCCCCTATACCGAACTGTATAGCTAGCTACACAACGAATCAGTTTATGTTAGGAGTAGCCCTTCGTGAAGTGTAAGGTAAAAACGCACCTTGCTTGGATCTTCGTACTTTGGAATGTTTGGATAAACGAACAGGTTCACTTCTTTACTAAGTATCGAAGCCTGTACTCCAGTTGACTTCCCGTTTAACTCTTTTCCATGTTTAATGATATCTACAATAAATGGAAGCTAATAAAGACATCATAAATAGAAAAGTTATGTTTACGCATTTTTCATCAGCGGATTTATACGTTTACTTATACTAAGGAGAAAGCAGGCTGCAGCCCCATATATTGGGTTTATTCCCTTCACGTTTCAAAATGAAAAAGTTGATTTTAAAGAGCATTTGGATATAAGGTCTGAGAACGGCATGTCAGTTGTTTATTGTAAGTTCGCAATGCGACGACCTACCTTAACCTGAGGAAAACGCCCTGCTAACGAAGGCAAAGGAGATCTACACTCATAGCAGAACCACATTCTTGATCGGCCGCATTGCGCACAGTTTTCTCGCAATCCGTTCTCGTCTAGAACAGAAGCATCAAAAATATCGAAACCTTCAAATGGATTTTTAACATTGTTGAGGCTTTCATACAGAGGACTTTTTGTTATCGCTGGTCTCCACATAACGATAAAAAACAAAAGTAAATATTTCTATATACAAATGTGCAAATACGTTCGGCAACGATAAACACCATTGCATATGTTTACTTCATTTGAAAACAGCCGCTACATAAGGAACGGAAGCGTGAAATTCCATCACAGAGCGTTGGTATCCCGCACTTTCCAGTCCCAAAATGGTTCCGAGCTCTACCAAGCAATTTTTGAACAGTTTTTCAATTCAGAGATTCAGTATTATCTACGCTGCAATTTATGGCTTGTTATGGCATGTTTATTTATCTGCGTAGAATATGTACGTAATGTCAGTGAAAAAAACGTTAGGGTCTAAATCAGATTTCGCGTCGTATGCTCACAGCAGCTACCTTCTTCCGATTATTAGCTATGGTTGTTATTAGAGCAGTATTCGTATTGTTTACGATAGAGACTGCCACCGGTGACTTGCTGATTCCCTGCGTTCTGCGGGAGTGTACCAAAGCGCCCCGAGCAACTTAGTATTCTGACGCAAGTGTCTGTGTATATGTGTATTTATTAACACTATTAACAGTTTTTTTTCGGGAAGCAAAGGTTGCTCAATAATTAGCCGCCATGAGTATTATGTCATACAATGGAGGCGCGGTAATAGCGATGACAGGTAAAGATTGTGTAGGAATCGCAGCCGACCGTCGACTCGGTGCCCAAGGCCACACAATTTCAATCAACTTCGAACGAATCTTCGAAATGGGTCCCAAACTGTACATTGGGCTCCCAGGCCTCGCAACAGACACGCAGACCGTTTCTCAAAGGCTTAAGTTTCGAATGAATCTCTTTGAACTACAAGAGGTATATTCGCTGGTTCTATCTCTCAATGTTCTATATATATATCTATATCGCTCAGTGTATTTATACGGATACTATTACCTATAATTACAGCAGCGTATGATTTATGTCATAATTCGATAGCTAGGAGCGTAAATATTCTTGAGCTTATATCGACCGAGTTCATTAATGATTTCATTTTATTATATATTCCAATATTTTCCAACTTTTGCACTTAGTTTGAAATTTAAAATCGACCTGTAGTTAAAAATACTATTATATGGGAAGGTTATAGCGTTTAACGTTCTCGCGTAGTATCTTCGCGTAACAGTAAACGACTAGGTGATTAAGTTCAATTAGGTGTCCTTTCGTCATGGATATTTACACCTTCTAACTATCGGCAAGTATCAAATCATTTGCAAAGGAACATCTTACGACGTACGTGAAATAAAAAAAAGCTTTGGCACACTACTGCGGGGCAAGTGCCGCAAAGTTCTTGTCCCTCGCTTGCATGTTGTGCACCAATAAGGTGCTCAAAATGTCTCAAAGGCACGAAATGTGTCGGTGAAGTACTGTATGTAACAGCTACGTATTGTGCACCTCGTTCTGCAGCCGTGTAGCAATTCACTTTGTCCATATAACAGTGAAACAAAAGCAACCAAAATAGCGAGTAGTGGTTACAATAGAAATGATGCAGTACGGGAAAAATGACAAGGTATATGTTTGCCGCCCATTTTTTGAAGATCACATGCGTATGCATTTATTCCCATTATATATAATGATTAAAGTGAATCATTGACCTCTTTCTAATTCTGCTCCCCTGCTATTCCTCCAATTTCTTTACAGAATCGCAGGATGAGGCCGGAAACATTTGCGAATATGACCAGTGGACTTCTATACGAACATCGATTCGGGCCTTATTTTGTTGAGCCTGTTGTTGCCGGTTTGGACGAGAAAACAAACAAACCATATGTCTGTTGCATGGATCTTCTTGGTTGTATCACAGAAACGGAGGACTTCGCACTAGCAGGTACGAACGTGTAGGTAACGTCAGTAGTCAAATTGCAATTCTCTGAAGATACCTTATTTCCCCATTTTGCGCTCGATCAATGGGTTCCTTTACTTATATACAAAGCGGGTCGAGCTCACTATTAAAAATCGTGTTTTCCAGAATGAGTTTGGTCAGTCCGACATTCAGTGTACATGACATTTTCGTTCACTAAATGTTTCGTGTTTAGGAGATCCATTAGGAGAGCCTTTGGCTTCCTCAAATTAGCACATTTGTTTATTTATTTATTACATTATTTATGATATTTACAACGATACCCCATCTGTTGCCACGACATTCGCCGTACTGCACGAGTGAGGTTTGTAACTCGCGACTACTTATTGCGCTCTGCAAAAGCGAGCCTTTTACTTAACTCAACCTATATTAATTGACGCAGTTTTGTCTCTAAAGTTGATGACATTGTAACGACAAACTAAATTTTCAGGGTGTTGTGAGGAACAGGCGTTTGGCATGTGCGAAACGCTATGGCGGCCAAACATGGGCCCTGACGAGCTTTTCGAAAGTCTATCTCAATCACTTCTAAATGCTATGGATCGAGATGCCAATACAGGTTGGGGTGCTGTTGTGTATATAATCGAAAAGGACAAAGTTACCAAGAGGTACCTTAAAACTCGGATGGATTAAGAACATCATGGTGTTGACGACCATTACAACAACAGCGTCTACAGCACGAGAGTACAGCGTCATTATAATCTTTACGTATGTTCGGCAGCTTAGCCAACAACTGTTGCTGGATCATATCTCTAAAGCTATATTACATCAATTTGTATGACCGCTAGTCTGTCCGCTACAAACAGACAGAAGACCAACTATGTCTTGTAGTGTTTCGCTATTTTCTGAGATATTACGTTGTTGTACTGTGTGTCCATGTAGATGAATACTAATTGGCTACAACTAGGGAATTTTTATACAATGATCACAAAAGGCATGGGAAGATCAATAAACACGTCGTATTTAACTAATTACTAGGAAGTCGTCATTTTTCACAGCACACTCTGAGAAATTCAGGCTTAAATAACATAAACCCGTCGAGCTAACAGCAAGGGAAAAAGTGCGGGTGTATGACACAACTGGCAGAAACAGTTTCGCCGCGATAACTAGGTGCTAGTGTTTCAGATATCTATTAAGGGATTTGTAGATATGGTATCTGTAGCTGCAGATGATAATACCTCCGCAACAACCGAGTAAGGCGCCGAATCGTACTCTAAATGATGAATAGCTTACCATATAAATTTTAATATCACCTCACTACTTAGTTATGTCTAATTTATATAAATATCAATACCAATATCATATACAAGACTTACCAAGATATAGTGAACCCAATCTCCGATTACGCATTTATCGCTTTTTGCGGTACCAGCTATACTGCAAAAAATGAATAGAATTCTATCGGAAATATTATATATTATTATATATATAAGTATTCAGTGACAATTGTACGCGACAAATGGCCCTAGAAAAGTTACAGAAAATTTATCCCCACGTTAAGTTGTTACCAGAAACCATATGAAAATACTCCCAAGTACACTGTGACGTTTGGTCTTCAGATTTTAAACTCTCAAGACCTAGGATTATTTTTTATATTTTAACGCCTAAAAGCTGCGCCAAATGTACAATCTAAGAAACGTTTAGTTGGATTTGTACCTAATTGCGTTATCTATCCTCGTAATAAAATCTTGCTCGTGACAAAATAATTTGAAGTTATTTTTAGCGTTTATTTTCTATGATTTCTACACAGAGCTTTCATAATCCTTCTAAAGGATACGTATTTAGAATGCCGTAGGCGATTCGTATCGAAGACTGAGAATTTTCCAGCTATTTTATTTGTACGGAAATTTAATCAGTCTTCAGCATCTTTTTAGGCAAAAGCAGAAGTACCGTTTTTAATTAATAGTAGATACGAGCTAAGATATTTCTGATCTCAGTACTATTATTTACCAAATACACTACCTGAACGAGCTGAAGTCGCTACGCTTAAACTTCCTATAAAAGAAGTATCATTTCACGGTACCGCTAGTCATAATCAACGTCAACAAAAGCAGTTCGTTGCATATAGAGTAGTATACGGTGAGACTGTATAAACCAAGATTTGCTCAACACTATTGGTTGAATAAAAATTATGCTTAAAACAGGGTCTTTTGGGAGAGTAGCTAGGAACCAACTTAATATATGCAAATTAGTGCATGAACTAATGAATAAATGAATATAATGAATAAATGCAAAAGACATCACGAGTACCTAGATTATGGTCGCAAGCAGTTTGGTTCTCGACGAACCAAAGAAAATTTCAGTGTAGGGAAACTATGGAAGCTTAGTAGAGTTGCATGAATTTTCTCAACAAGACAATGCGTACTACCTGCATAAATCATGTTTCATTATGATCGATCTGATGGAACCAAAGAGTAATTAATAATCACATAGATATTAATGAAGTATAAAATGATTTAGGGGTTCATATACAGCCATTAGGCACTCATTCAGTTATTCAACTGAAGTCGATCTCTGTTTATTGTATTGCGTCCTTTATTTATTTGATCCGAATCAAACTGCTACAGCAATGCTAGTGACGATACTAGACAGTAGTCTTCCTTTTTAGAGTACACAGTACTTTTCTACCAGCATAATACCAGGGCAGATAAATATCGAATGAATAAAAGGCAATTTAAGCAGAAAATGTTGGATGTTCCTTGCATGCAACCTAGGCTGAGAGTCATCTTTGATCATCAAACAAGCAATTCTGCTCGTCATTATGAAGCACATATGAAGCTGGATTCATAAGCAGTTTCAAGGCTAGGACCATAAAACCCAATCCTTCACTTACTATTAATCTAGTCAGAATCCTATATATTCTAAAAGATTAAAAATCTTATTTATTTGTTTAATCAAAAATTACGCATATCTGTCCTGATGGACTTCCTTCAAACATTTCACTGCCTTAAAGGCTACCTTTTTGGGTTAACTAAAAAAGAGGCAGGTCAGTTTAGAAAAATTGACGCCAAAGTCTGTGTGCTAATCTTCACGAAAATTCTAGTTAACTATTTTTGCAGCCTTATATATATAACAAAATGTATCCCTTTGTCATACCTATGAAATGGCTAAAGATTATAATAAGCTTGCTATGTTATTAAAATACCTGATGAAAGATGTTAAATATTTTTTTGGAATTTTTCATTTACAACTCAATTTTGCCATAGATGCAAATTACAGCTTAATAGCGTCAATTTCATATGCTCGAAAAAAATTAAAAGTAATTTCGTAAAATGATGACTTTAACATGGTTCAAAGGCAGCTTGGGGGAATTATGCACATGACAGGCAATCGTATCCAATAGAAGGCCGCACGCGTCGACTCCAAACAGATGTATATCTCATCTAATCTTGATGTAGACGTACTCGAAAAAGTCAGTATGTTTTTTCTGTAACATAAAACCGAGATATATTTCACTCGTCAACCCAAAAATCTCAGGAAATACATGCTAAGCCTTTGCTTATTTCTCATAGTTATTATTATCATCATTAGCGTAGCATCATATTATACAATCAATAACATTAATCTACTGATTAGCAGTTTATTTGTGCACAGACGATGTAAGCTTAATTTGGTACGCTTTGTAGAAAAAAAAACAGAGCTAATACTTCATAATTTATCCTGACTTTTCCAGTTTCACGTCCATATATATATATATATATATATATATATATTACTCATTTTGCTGTAGGTTGTAACAGCTATCTATATAAAGACAGATGTTTATGTGTATGTATGCGTAAATGCGATTTGCCGTCATAAGGTACATAGACTATTAGATACTTGTATAGCTTACACAACTTAATTTTTTGTGGCAGTGCAGTGGGTTTTCGAAATATTTCCATATTTCTTAGGATGAGACGAGGGAATGGCTTCATCGATGATCACGTCGTTGTTATTGTTGTTGTTGTGCTAACTTTGGAGTAGTAATGATGGCTACAGTACAAGTAACAAGAAGCCAGACGTCCCGATTCCAGATCGACATCACTCAATTAAAAAATTCCTATTGGCTCTATATACATTTTCAGCTGGGAGCTAATATGGGGTCTTGGTCTTCGTGTCGTAATTTTGAACTAGCAAATTTGTAGGAGCAGTAGCAGAGCCATCCCCACTATTACTGGTTTGGTCACCACAACGATGACAACGACGACAATCATCAGCGTCATCGCAACGTGTAATTATCGATTGAACAGCAAAACCCAATTGCAATCGATCTCAATGAATAATATTTTTCTAAACGAAGCTTCGGCATTCGCATCGGGATCTCTATGTATGTGCACTTGACAACATATAACTAACTCTGCGTACCATATAGGACGAAACGAGCCGCTGAACGAAGTGAGCAAGCAGCAAGTGAACAATCGTCCTTCGATAATTCTGGACAATGTCAATGCTCTCTACACTGAACAGATACAGAACGCTGAAAACGGACAAGCAATCATTGGTTTCGACCCAGCCATGCTATGCAGATTATAACCGTCGTAGCATATTAATTAGAACGCATACACACAAATAAAAGCGCCAATATAAAATCATAGAAATGACACACGGTGGATAATTATCAGAAAACTTTAAAAATAACAGTTCTTTACTGGAACGATTTTCAAGAGCTTAAGTTTAGCCTTAAAGTAATAGTTCTAGCTGCTGTAAATTTTTTGCACATGGAAAATTTGGGCTGCGCGTATCCGAGATCTTAAGTAAATAACATGGAAAACAACTTAAAATCAATGTCTCAAGCCAAAATAAGATCCGCAGTAGAATACTTTAGTAGGTATTTAAGTAGTTGCCCGTCGACAAAAAGCGTTTATCTGAACGAATATAATCATACACTGGAAGTAACAAATTCAATAGAGCACTAAGTTGGTTGCCGCAAGTTGTGCGAACTCACCAATAATACTCGAAATCGCAAAATTTTGCATCTACTTATCAACCATGTCAACGTGATAGCGCTGCACATGGTAAACTTTCATATTGGCGCAGGGAGCTCAGGTATTCTCGGCAACATGGTCGATATTATAGTGACCCTACTTTTAGAGTATTTCGATTAACCTTCAACAAAAGGGTTTGGAAGGGGTAAGGCCGTAGATAATCTCGATAGCTTCATTTGCTCGACCTCAGATGTTAAACGTCAATACATTTTTGTACAGTTTAGAAAAAAATATGCTGTTTTTAGTTGGATGGAACGCTTTTCTACGCCTAATGACCAATATAGTTGAAAGTTTTGTCCAAACTTTTATAACGATATCAGTAATTTTCAACGAAATCTAGAAGACATGGAATGGATTGACCTCTCGTTGATTTGACAAATTTTGGCTTTGAACTAGTCTGGCTCTATTGTCATATATGTGCATTGCCATATTTCAATCTTAATTAGATTAACTTCTCAGATTTAAACGAACACGAAAAAATTATACTTGACTTTCTCAAACCTATGTTTTACTAAAACTCAATAATGTGCCTATGTATCTATTCCACCTAGATATTGTTGACGCTTTATTATGACTAAACAAACTATGCGCTGTATATAATATATTCTTGACGACACATATTATATTTCTACAAACTAAGCAGTAAAATAGTAATGAGGCACAGTTCAAACAAAGGCAAAGGTCTGTTTCTGAGTATGCGTATTTGTACGGGCTAGTTTCGACTTCATAGAAATTTCTATTGGTAAACAAACGTTGTCACGAAGGCTGGTGACTCACGCATATTGTAGGCAGCTCTATGCAGCATAATATTATGTATGTCGTTAAATAAATAGCCTAGCACTATAATTACAAGACAATGAAGTGCAGATATAGACAAGTGTCGCATGACAAATACGCTTAACTCATGTACACGTATGATCTTTTATTTTATCAAATTAAAACGTGACTTGCCAGCACTGCTAACAGAATATTTATTAAATCAATAGCCTAACACACTTAAAGGTGTTA